AGGAAATTATATCTCTCAGTGATACTGTCACTTGCAGCTATACTTTTTGCTATCAAAAACTTCGTCATATTTTTGATAAGTTAGATTCAATTCCCCCCTTGAATTTCATTACCAGCAAATGCAAAGTCTTCATGAACATTCTCGAACCGATCTCTACCTCAAAACAAAATGTCAACTTCTCTTGTATAAGGTAGTTATGCCAAGAAAAGCTCCTTTTTTATTACAACAACGGATATGATATATATGCCACTGACGGTTCCGTCGGACATAATGTATCTGGCTTCTCGGTCGTGAAACATCTATCTGAAACAATACTTCGAGTCAAAGTGGAAGAGGAACTTTCCTCTACTTTCATTAAGTTGCTCGCCATTTGACATGCTATCATGGTTGCTATTTCCGATGGTATCAGACGTCAGGGAGAGCTCGTGTTGATTCGGGCGATTCGCAACCACATCCTGCAACAGCTAAACGACGGATTTAAAGAGATCGCGCGCGTTAAATCCAATCGTCTTTTCTATAAATTAAATCCCACATTTCAATTCAAGCCCTTTTCTGTATCTTCTTTTAATTCCTGATAAATAAAAATTCTTTATAGACTCATGAGTGGTCGCACTTATGACAAAGTTTATTTAAAATGATTCGCGCTATACCATGTGATGTTTGTGAAGTTTGCAATGTTGTTGAGTCTGCTGAGCATCTAATCTTCAGATGTCACAGGCTTGATGGCATTAGAGATTCCTTTAGCTTCTTTAAGTTATATGGCTGTCTCCTCGATGTCTTTGCAGCAAAAAATGTACGTCATTTTACACTAATTTACTTTATTAGAAAAGCTAATTTACTAATTAGCTAATTTACTAATTAGCACTAATTTACTTTATTAGAAAAGCTAATTTATCCTTTTAGAAATTTTTTTTTTTCCTCTTCTTTCCTTTTTCTTCTTTCGTTTTTGCGTTTAATAATCTTCTATTACCATAGCATTGCTTTTCGTTTTCAGCCAAAGTTTGCAACACTGTTTAACTTTCAAGAACTCAAGAAACACAATTACACACACACACACACACACACAATTACATTTAACATGCTCACTCCAGTTATTACGGCCGCTCTTATTTTTTTGTTACGTTTTATACATAATCGTGACTAAAAATTACAACAGTTTATTATTTGGACATATAAGCCACAAATCTATTGGCTTAGTCCATCTCTGTTCAACATACCAAAAAAAAAAAAAAAAAAATAGTAGCACTTAAGTCGTGTTCCTTATGTGTCTAGATTGTATTGTAGATAATTAATTAATTCGATGATTATTTGTAATATATACATATATTTTTCTAAGTAACTGACGCTAATGTGTTTTATCCATAAGAAGCTTGAAAAAGTATAAATAGTGAAGTAAAATTGCTATATATGGAACAGCAGGACAGGGATGTGTTTCACCATCGTTTTGATGAGAAATGATATCAAAAATACTGTTTCAAGGGGCTTTGATTTGAGATTGAAAAATGTTTTTAATTGAAGACTGTATATTGTAATGTTGAAAAAAGATGGAATAGCGTAGACTTTTAATAAGATGAACATTTATGGCATTCGAATGAAAGTTCAAAAAAGCTGAATTAGTGGAAGTTAGATCCAAGGCACTGCTTATTTTCTGCACACAATAGCGGTATGATTTTGTTTTGTTTCTATCTTCGATATTGCTCATCAACTCAAATACATGCAGAAAATTTTAAATTTTGTCGTGAAACTATATATAACTATACAGCATTGCATATCGCTTATTGAAATCGTTGGTGTAAAGTTGCACAGGTTAATCGCTTATCTCTTAGTTAACGTTCGTTCGCGACGAAGTCCGAAGTTGGTAAATTTTAAATGCTTCACGTAACACTTTTCCCATCATTTTTGTTCCTGTCTTTCATGTCGAATAAAATAGCAGAAAATTAAGAGAGTTTTAGTTTAGGTTGATCTGTGTCTTTCACATATAATAGCTGATTCCGCTCATTGATAAAACAAAAAAACATTTAAAGAAAAAAGAAAATGTAAATACATTTTAAACTTTTAGTGTAAAATAAACAAATAAGAATGCTACAGCCGGACAAGGATAAATACTTTGTACCACTTCGTCTAATACTATCATTTACACATTTTGTTAATAATAACCCAAAAATTATACATCATTTTTATGCAGATTTATGCACAATTTTCATGAAAGTCGTCGTATTGGGAGATAATCAAAACGTCAAATAACGTGGTCCAAATTTAACAAATTTAATTTACTTGTCAAAGATTTTATTGCTTTCCAATTGTTTCCGTCATCACAAAACCACAAACTAGACTTCTTCGAGGCTTGCTTTCATGGTAGCCTCTATACATGGCGCAGTCAAAAAAGTAGAACTATATAGTCCAAATTTCTTATCGTTTATTTAGTAATGAACAATTTTCATCATAAAATATTAAAAATTAATCCTTTTCGGCGTATAAACACTTATTTGTCTTTAGAAATCTAGTATAGGTTGAGATACAAAAAATAGACTTACGTCGTGCAAATTCAACAGAATTGATTTTTCCGTTAAATTATTATTATCAACCAATTTTCATCAAGAAGTATTGAAGTTTAGGGTTTGTTCCAATACAAAGATACAGTTTCCCTATGATCCAAAGCTTAGACACCAATTTAGAATGCCGAAATACAATTAACATATGATTTTTTTTGGGAAAGTCTGCAAATTACACATTTTTTTCATAGAACGACTTATAAAAACAACGCCGTGTAAGGGGAGAGGATGGAAAAGTAATCTTATCCGAAGCATTGCTAATAGTGTTTATGCTTCGGGTGATGGACAAACATTAGGCGATAATAAAAAATGAAGCAATGAAAGCGTAATCACCACTCTTGGACTACTATTTTTGTGCAAGATTGTTTGCAATGATTTGTGCCGCTTTCCTTTTTGGAAACCAGATATGTATTTTATGAAAATAGCTCTTCAGTGAATTTGTGTTTTATTATGCTAACATGAAGTGCATATTAGACGTAAAATTAACAATTCAACGAAAATTATTTATTTTGAAAAAATTAACTAACCTAGTACATAGCTCCCTTTCTTGTTGTAATTCATTAACAAAACTTGTTAAGCTGGGCTTAATTCACTATTTTGTGAGTTTAAATCGACTATCTTAGTTTAGCTAATTACAGAAGAGATATTGGGCAAAATATACATTATACATACATTTTAAAGAACTACAAATTTTTGGTTTTATTGCTACTACTTAATATAAGCCTAAAGGCCGCTATAAAACGAAGATGCATTATGTTATTATTATTATTGTTATTATTATAATTTTACGTTAATGAAATAAATTCTTAGACTAAAAAAGAGACATTGAGCACTAGCAGCACAGGCTATCGGCTCTAATATAAATAAATGTACATTAGATAATGAGCTTAGTAGTATCAATAAAGTAATATATAGAATTGATATTCGGTTCTGAAGCTGATTTTAGAATGTCCAAAAGGTTAGTCGTTCCAAATGCAATACTTCTAGCCAAGGAAAGGTCAAGGCAGTCGCAGAGAATGTGCTTCACAGTGAGAGTTTGTCCACAACTGCAGATTGGGGAGGAAGACTTCTTCAAGATCCAGTGGTGAGTTGCAATTGTATGACCAAGGCGAGTTCTAGGAATTATCAAAAACTGGAAATTATATATATAAAATATAGGCCATTTTAGTTATAAGCAATAACAAAATAAAAGAGGTTAACAAAGATTTTATGGAAACTCTTTAGTAGCTAACAAAAATGAAAGCCCATTATATATATAAAAGATTTAAAAATACCAGACAAAATGTCACATGCATGAAGGCATTATAAAGAAAGAAAAACTGCTAGAAACGAAATATATGTTGTTCTTAACGTACCTATCGGTCTAATTGATTGTAATACGTTTTTAATTGACTCTTGAAATTTTTCACAATGTGGATACATAGATATATGTATTACAAGTCCACTCACAGCGACTTCCTTTTAAGACGATTGATTCTCTTCCATCAAATGGTATAAAATGATGTGCCGAAGCATTTTTCCTAATAATTAAATTGATTAACACGGATAATTTGTAAATTGGATTATATTTCATATTTCCCAATCTTTTATTATTCGTAATGCACAATTTTCTACTACTAGCCCATTTATGTTCCGTTTTCTGTGCTGATGTAGATTAAAACATAAATGAACAAGGAGATAACCACTTATCTGGAAGTCAGCAAACAAAAAATTGCACATTAAAAGTTTACTTTCCGCGCTATTGTACTTGTGGAGGGAAATGCATCACCATCCAAAGATATTCAACACCTTTTGGCGGTGGACGACCTATCATCCTTGATTTGCACTTTAATAATTGAGTTTGCTCCCTTAATAAGTGTTGGAGGTCTCTTGGAAGCTTCTTTTATTATTGATTTGCTTCTGGAGCGCTTAAGCAAATTTTTATAATTTCCAGCCGCATAGCGCATCTTTGTTTTATGGTGGTGACTTATAAAATATAATGATTAGTTGTTTCAATAGTTAATATTATTTCCCTTTATTAAGTGATGACAATGATATCAATAAATTCGTTATACTTATTATATATGCCAACAGATTATTTCTGCTATAATTAGGTAAGCTAAAGACAGTAGCAACTTAAGCAAAGTTTAACAATACTTCTTATTGAACTAGAGAATAAAAAACTGTTCAAGTCATAGAAAGATGATACGAAACATTATCAACAATCTTGCATTTAAAGGTTTTTCTCTTCGTTAGATTAAATCCTTGTTTTAATCGTAGATGTTCATCATTAGATCATTAGATGTTCATTTTTCAAATTTTTTAATTTGTGCCACGAGGCCATAAGCAATCAATGTATATAATCTGTTATGAGAATCCTTATCATCGTTTTAGCGTCAAGCTAAACGTGCACGAACACGCATAGACGTAAATTTATTCTTTCATGAAATAGTACAATTGTGTTTATTCAAGTGGGTGTCGATCGTTACATCAAAAAGTGCCCATTTCCTCCTCAGGAAATTTGCGTATCTTTTTATTGGCTACTTCATCAATGATTGGTTTGTTTGTAAATTTATCAAAGATAATATCAGCTGTTATTTTGTGGTTTTGACGCCCACAAATAAATGCAAACACAAGTTTTTCATTTGCAAATGTATGGCAGCAACGAAAACAACACTAAAGTTTTACGCGATTGCAACATAAGCGTGTATCAACTATTGACTTCATCGCAAATGAAAATTAACTTTCAAACATGTGATTACGTATAGCATTAACCATTCATTTGTCATTTCATTCTCGAGTCTTGAGGTGTTTGCTTCACTTATGCGCGGCCGCTGAGAAAAATGCTTTCTCGATGAAATTATGTAAGCAGGCGATCATCGCCGTGATTATCGCCTGGTACTATCGTCCCTCAAATCTTCAATCAATATGCAATAATTGAGAGAAATGTAAAAAGTGAGAACCAAATTGACGTTTATTTATTTTGTATAAATAAGCTACATATGGCAAACACTAAGCATGTAAAATGAAATGGATAGAAAATAACGTAGAATTTGAAAAAAATAATAAACTTAAATTCAGTGTTTAAATTTTTAGGTTTCTTATTTTAGAAAATGTTAATTATTGTATATTCTTTTTTACAGATTTTCCATAAAAATGATAAGATTTTTATATAATTTTAATTCCAGTAGTTATGTAATATTTATGTACATTGTTGTTTAGGTAAATTCTATGCCAACAATCCTATAATTGATTCACCCAATTACCTCCATTCTGGTGTTTTCAAACATCAACACCATCGTCTTTATAGGTCGCCTGGAGAATTCAAATGATCTTCTCCCACCTTTTAGTAGATGCAAATGTTGTGCAGCGCTACCCAAACGTTTATAATTTTTCCCAACATCTTTGGGCTGCGGCAGCTCTTTCTCTCTTTCTGTAGAATACTCCAGCGCCCTAGAGAAACATTCAAACACTGTAGTCAGATTTTCGCAATACTAAATACTGTAATCTTAACTTCTATACATGCCAATGCATATTTCCGCAATGTTCCTCGCCTTGCAACGAATTGCGTTGTATTTTTCTTTAGAGGATCCGCCGAACTTCGGTAAGGTTTTATCAGGCAAAGGTCTAGGAGGTATCCACTATCAACCGACAAAAAATAGGAAAGACGTAGTTTTTTGTCTCCTAATTTTTCTTTTTACTGCTTACCAAGCAGCCAAGTATTGGTCTCATGCCCGGTCCAATGGTTTTCTAGGGAAGGTCTTTCATCGAAGTGCACTTATGCGAATCATGGCAAGATCCGGGGGATTTCAAATTGACTGACAGCAAATCTAGAATAAAATGCGTATATACGTTCCGTCAACACATCCAATTACTGTAAGAAATAATAAAAATATTATTATTATTATTATTATTATTATTTTAATTTCAGACTAATGAATTGAATTCTTAGACTAAAAAAAGAGACATTGAGCACTAGCAACACAGGCTATCGGCTCTATTATAATGGCCATTTATTCAACAAAAAGTTCATTTATCTACCACCTGAAATACCAAATGTCTGGTAAAACCGCTTCTTCGTCTCCGCGTTTAAGTTTTGTTTTCAACTCTTGTAACACCTCTGATACACTGGTTGATAACGTGCTTTCTGCAACACTTACGGGCTGGTCGCTGCAAGACATTGGTAGCCTCCTGAAGCCAACACTTCCAAAATTATAGGTAAGCGCTACACCGGCGGTATGCATGTACTTCTCATACCAACACTCTCACCAGTTTTTCTGAGGATGTAATGAAACGCCACTTTGAAAACGCAGAACTTCTGCATAAATCTACGTACAACGATATAACATATATTTGTACATGGTTTGTAGATATTAGAAACAATTTAATTACTTACTCGTTTCAGGGAGATCCTTTCTTCTGCGGCGCAGTTGTGATTGCTATCCTTTTCAATGCAGGAGTATAAAAGGAAGCTACGGTACTTTCCGTTAATAATGTACACAATGGTTAACATTGCTTAATTTAGCACGACTGTTAAAGAAAATTGGACTTAACAAATTTTTTTTGCTTTTTCTTCGCAGTTCACAAATATAATATTAGACACACTTTATTTTTTTTAATTTTTTACAATTTTTAAAATGATAATTCATTTTCTAACAACTGTTTTTATTTTTCTTTTGCAGCTGCTTTTTTTACAAATGCAACTGTAAAAGGGCGATTTTTGGTAATTTTGCTTGGTTTGTACTCAATACTTAAGCAAACTTGTTATCAGCGATACCAATTTTACTGCTGTTAGATTAGAAGTAGCTGAGAAAGCACATTTGGCGGTGATCGTTAGCAAATTTGCCTACATGATTAGATTGATGATTTTCTTGGTGATGATCGCCTGCTTCATTGCCGGTTGCTTAAATGATTACCCCCTGTAAATGGGAAATAAAATACATTCCAACTAAGATTGTTCAAAAAATTCGTAAGTTTTAAAATGTAGGTCAACTAATTTTGTTTGATTTTTATTCCAATTTTCTAATTAAAACTGTTAATCCGCCAAACATTGTTATAAATCTTGTATCTCCAACGTTTTCATAAACCATCATAAACTGTCGATGTCATTGACAAAGCGCAAAACATAAAAAAAAAAATAAAAGCTCATTACTCTATTGGATAGATATAAGATATTCAGAATAAATCCGCTTTAAGATATATTTTAGGAAAATTAAAAAGCTGGCTTTCGGTTTGGCTTCTATTTATATTATATGTTTTATAAATTTATAATACTGTATAAATACGTAAAATAAAAATAACAAGTAAGAAAATATAAATTTAGTCGGGACCGAATCTTTTATACCTATCACCGTTATGCTAAAATAGACATAAGAACAACATTTTTATGCTCTATAATATGGAATGGGCGCAGCTGATTTTTGCTGTTTTCAAAATAAAAGCCTTTATTGTGCAAGTGTGCGGGCGCTGCAGGCGGGTGCTTCGAAAAAATTACATCAATTCCAAATTCTTTTGCAAATATGTAGGTTATATCTTTATTTTACTAACGGGAAAATGTATACCACAAATACTACAACGTTGTGCAAGAAGACACATGGATAGACGAAAAGGCGGACATGTTTGGATGCATTCCAAATTTGAATCTAGCTAAGAATTTGCATATTTTATGGTTTTTAAAACTTGTTGTAAAACAAATGCTACAGCATCATCCATAGAATATGCCTTCATATTTTTATAAATTTTTTTGCAGTAGTTTATGAATAACGAGCAAAAACTAACTTTTTGTTTGTTTTTGAAAAACAGAGCAAGAACTTCCACCACATTTGATGTCGATACCTTCAATTTTGCGGCCAAGAGAAAAAATTTGCGACCTGTTTACAACAGACTTAACAGAGGTGGACAGACCAACATGCTTAAACCGATTTAAAATATGATGCTAATCAAGAATATATACTTTGTAGACTCTCTGATGCTTCCTTCTGGTCGTTGCAAAAGTTTTAACAAAATCAATATACCCTCATCCTTTGGTGATGGATATCAATTCTCAGGAGTCAGGACGCAGCGCCTTTGGCCTTTTACTATAGGATGAATACATGGCAAAAAATAATTATGTTTATTAATAATTATGTAATCGTTAATATTGAAAATGAAAGTTAATAATATGCACTTACTTTTATCTCTTAATTGGAATGTCATCCGCGGCCTCGCCATCTAGCAGATGAGGGCTTCCCAATATATATAAAAAACTTTTCAAAAATAAAGCTAACATTATATAACAATAACCATGGTCCTATTCCAGTCGTACGACATATATACGAAAGTGTTTATCACCAATCCTTGCCGCCTTTAAATATTTTAGCTCGACAATAATATTTTTGCCCAGAGTCTGCGTCGTGTCGTCGTTTGGCCCTCCTACGCTCTTTTGTACGGACAATCTGTTAATAATTAATTTTGTAAGGAAACGTTTTGCGTACTGCCTAACGACAAATCCGTCCGCATAATTGTCTGGCCATATTACGAAATATTCCTCATCCGTAAACAAGAAAATTCTAAAAGCATTCGGTCGTTTTGTCCGATCGTGCGCCAAGTTACACGTGAAATTGTAATATATCTATTTTTGTTACCTACTTCTAATTTCTATACATGAATGATGATATGTTGTAGTTATGAGCGATAAACATATGCTTATACATAAGATAGCACTAATAAAATTTATACATAAGATAGCAACGCATACATAGATAAATAAGCGTTGATCTATTGCAACACATACATCGTAAAACGCTGCCAGCTTATAACAAGCGCAGGCAGAGCAACTGCATAATGGGACAGCGATGGTGACCACGATTATAAAAGCGCGTAACACAACGCGCTCAGCCTTTCATTTCTACCATAACATTCAAAGAGGTAAAAGATCTCGAACAAAGTATTTCCTTGTGTTTGATTCTGTTAATAGGCATATTTTTTCAACTTACGGCCAGGGGATGGCAGACTCAGCTTAGTCATCTTTCCTGAACAACGGATGGGACCACCCTCTTCGATGCCGTTTCGAACGGTTAGGGACAATAAAAGCAAATAGAATGCACGTAGGAATGGACGAATCGCCCTGCAGGCCCAAGGTTGGTTGCTGTAACATCTCTTGTGTATTGTTGCAGAATTTCTCGCAGTACTCGGTGCGTACGAAACGCCGATAATAATATCGAAGGAAAGAACTAAGAGCAAGGGGTGAGATGCGAATCGCTGCGTTGGTTTTCTTTACAATTTGTTTCTTTGCCTTGTATTTGTGGTCCGCGCTTCTTCGTTGCTCGATGTTCCCGCAGTTTGTTTAGTCGTAGTGTGTGAACCGTAGCAGATGAATGGTACGATGTTGACTTTGTTTTTATTCTCTTGTAGTCGAAGAATAAGTGGTATGTAATTGCAAAAGTTGACTTATAATAGCATTTTACAATTCGATAAAACAAAACACGAAGAATTATTTTGTCTTTTGACCGCTATCGGATACCGACAACGGTTGATGTAGCCTGGTACAAATGTAAAATAGAACTCTACATTCCAAATCCCATGAGGTGTAAAAACTGCCAACGCCTGGGCCATACGGCAAAAAGATGCACCAGTCCTCCATCCTGTGCTAACTGTCTTCCTCCACATACTGAAAACTGTACCCGTAATTTCTGCTTAAATTGCGATGATCAACACTCGGCGTTAGACAAAGAACGCCCACGTTTTATACAAATGCGTGAAATTCTAAAAATCAAAACAAAAAATTACTGTAGCATGGGTGAAGCGCGACGCAAATACCGGGAAACAAATCCATCTGGAACCAAAAAAATTCAGAAAAGTAATGTCTACGCTGCTGTCGCCTCGCAAATCGAGCCTAGTAAGACTTCAACTGCAACTGCTTCCAATGAAAAACCTGTTCCACCGTTAACCAAAAATTATATTGCGAAACCAGTTACATCACTTGCCAAAGATAATATTGAAAAAATCAAAACAACAGCAAATATTGAAAAAATTAAAACAACAACACATATGCCAAAATCTAATAATCTAGATCCCCCAGAGTCACCAGTTCTAAACTCTACTCAACAAATTACAAGCTGTAATGAATCCAATCTTTCATGCCTCAATCAACCTGCAATTTCAAATTACTCACGTGCCCACTCGTGGCGGTTCAAATGTGCCCAGACACCTAAGTATAGATTATTCTGCTGGTAAGAACAAATTATTCACGCAAAATTCTTATAGTGACATTTTCGACGGAGACGCTGACATGTCACCTTAACCTACTTTCCACTCCATGTCACTACAATTAAATAAAGTTTTTAAAATTCTACAATGGAATATTAACGGACTTCTTAACAATTTTGATGAACTCCGTACACTCGCAAGTGATCTCAGTCCAACCTTTACATCGCTTCAAGAAACCCATTGTAGAACCTCTTTTAATCCTATTCCACCCAAATCATATACTGGATACTTCACGAATGCTGATCAAAATTTATATTCCGAACAAGGAGTTGGTGTTTTTATAAAATCAAGTATACCTCACAAACGCATAAATTTAAGCTCAAATATACAAGCCGTAGCGATACAAATAATGTTAAACATAAAATTTACAGTGCTTTTGCTCTATATTCCACCTTCGCAATCGTTTTCTCAGCAAGAACTATACAATTTATTCTTCGTACGTACTTCCAGTGCTTCCATCGAAAATAAAAGGACTCCATCGGATTATCGCCCGATCTCTCTTTTATCTTGCCTCTCAAAGGTACTGGAAAAGATTATGGCATCTAGATTATCTTGCTTTCTTGAGTCCAAGAACCTGATAACAAAGCAACAAGTTGGTTTCAAGCGGAGTAGAGGGTGCATCGACGCTCTATTAGATATTGATTATTTTACAAGCAAAGCAATTTCCGAACGAAATCACGTAACAATTCTCTCAATTGATTTCGAAAAAGCATTTGACAGAGTTGGTCTTCATGTTATTTTAAGACTCTTGAAATCATGGAATGTTGGACCCAAATTCTTCAACTACATCAAATCATTCATGTCGCATCGGCGGTTTAAAGTTAGAATCAACAATCATCTTTCTGAGTCCTTTCCGCTAATGAATGGCATTCCGTAAGGATCTCCTCTGTCTGTCATGCTTTTTCAGATCGCCTTCAACGAAATTAGCAAAATTCTTTGCGGTGTACCAAGAGTGGAACATTGTCTTTACGCGGACGATCTATACAACAACACGAAAGCAATCAACATCCTCGAATCTATTGGACGAGAAATCTCCGCATGGGCAAACTCGTCACGGGCTAAAATTTCTATACAAAAATCTAAAAGAATGTACATTTGTCGAAAGCAGATTTGCGATGCAGGAAATCTACTGATGTGTATTAATGGCTTACCAGTACTAAACGTGCAGACGCTCCATGTTCTTGGGCTCACTTTTTCCAACAAGCATCGTTGAAAAGCACACTGTCTTCGGTTTAAAAATTTTATTTTAACAAGGGTGAATTTCATACAGTACGTTGCTTGAAGAAGCCATGCGCATATTAACACTATTGCTTATCTTACCCAAATGCTTGTGTTAAGCAAGATTGATTATGCTTTGATAATTTATGGCAA